ATCACCCACTAACATTGCTTTGCTCCCCTTCCACCTGTTAGCACCTACGTGTGCATCCCTAAACGTAACAGCCTAATTGTACCCGTTTGAACTTTGTGACTGGAACCGTAAGAGTGTCCCACTGCGTATGTAAACCACTACATTCATCCCCTCTGTTGACGGGCACTTGGGTTGACTCCAGGTTGGGGCTGTAAACACGCGTGTCCAGGTGCCACTGCGTTTGGGCTCACCCTGGGGTGCCCACAGGGAAGCCAGGGACAAGGAGAAGTGATGGGTCTGGGGAAGAATGTTGAATTTCACTAGATACCAAGTTTTCCTAAATGGTTGTACCAACAAACTAAATGAACAGTCTGAGAAATGAAGCAAACCAAAAAGGGGCCATACCAACGTGCACCCACCCGCCAACAGCTTATCAAAGGGTGCACCGCCTGTGTCCCCGCTCATGATGTCAGACTTTCATCTGTGCCCCATGTTTTCTGGTGTCAAAATGGTATCACACTGCAGTTTTAATTTGCACGAATTAATAACGAATGAGATTAAACTCCTTTTCATAAGTTTATTGTCATTTACATTTCCTTTTTTATTACATTTTTTAAATCTTTTTTATGATTTTCTTACATATTCTGGACAGTTGACATTTATCAATTTTATGTATCTTCTCCCACTCTGTAACTTTCTTTTTCACTCTTTTCGATGAAGCATTTTGGGTAACACATACACACACACGAAAACAAAAAAAACCCCTAAAAACGTAATCCAATAATGTATTTAAAAAAATAAACTCTCATGACTAAGTTAGGAGCATCCGAAAAATTCAACGTTACCTTAACGTTAGGAAATTAATGGAATGCACCTAACAAATTAAAAGAAATGTCAAATAATCATCTCAACTAATGCCTAAAGAACATTGGATAAAATTCAACATTTCATAATTAACAACAACAAAAAACTCTAGCAAACTAGGACTACGAGGGAGCGTCTTTCTGGTAAACGGTGCTCTCCTAGACTCCACACCCCAGGCCACACTCAGTGGGGGACAGAGAAGCCCTTCCACTCCCAGACCAGGAAGCCGAGGGCGCCCACGACCACCCTGCGTGCCCTCCCTCCGACCAGAGGTGTGAACGGTGCAGAAGAGGGGAAACAGGAAAGGAGTCGGCTGGAAAGGAAGAAACAGAAGGTTTGAGGATCAGAAAGGAAGAAGTAGATCAGGCATCACTTACAGGGCGTCTGATGGCATATGTTTAAAATCCAAACGCATCTACAGATAAATAACTGGAAATGAAGTTGAGCAAAGCAGCTGAATACAGAAATCAGTTTTTAAAAACTGCTCCCAGCAACAAAAATTTGCAAGTGGCATTTAAAAAGGTTAACATGGCACCAAAAAAAAAAAAAAAAAAAAAATCTAGGAATAAACCTAACGAAACATGCCTAAGACCTTTATGGAGAAATTGGGAAACTTTATGAGACTTTTAAACAGATGGGAAGAGCAAATGTTGCGAAGAGGTCAACTGGCACTAAGCAGTCTCAATCAAAACACATGACAGCTTTTGAGAAGAACTTGACCAGCCAACCCTAAAATTCATCTGGAAATGCAAAGAGCAATCCTGGATATTTTCTCTTCCTTACACGTGTTCACGTTCTTAGGAGCCTCTGAACCGGCTTCACGACCACTGGTGGACTGTGACCCACACGTGGTTTTGCCAGCACCCCCTTACTCCGCTGCAGGATGCACCACAGCCGCACTCGATTGCCCTTTCGAGTTGAAAGGACTCTGCTTCATCCCACCTCCCGGCCTCCGCCTGGGACTCAGCCACCTTTGGTCTGGCCCTCTCCACTGCTCCCCAGCTGCTGACACCGTGTCAGCCAGTCATCCGCCCCATCTTCAGACCCAGCTCACTCTCTCCTTCAGCCTCTCACACTTTGGAGTGAAATCACACAAGGCAGAGCGATGCCCACCTGAGGATAGGCTCTAAGACCTCCAGTGGCTTTCTGAGGGAGACAGTACTGTCCTTTGGTCATTTTACAGGTAAAGAAACCGAAGGTCGCGAAGAACAGCACTAGCTCAGAGCTCCACTGGAATTTAACCACACAGGGGTGTGACCTGGTCTTCTAAGGCCCAAGCCATCTGCACAGGGTCAGGGCTGTCCGTCCAGACGGCGGAGCTTCGAGTAGCAGCGGGCTCTGGCTAAAGGTGTTGGCCTTACCCTGCTCCCGCATCCCAAGGGACAGTTCAAAGCAAGCCCAGCAGAGCAGCACAGGCCGGGAGTGACCAATGGGATGTCTGTCTAGAGTACAGGTAAGGTACAGACGGATACAGCATGGCCTCCTCCTTGGCAGCCGCCACGCAGTTCCCAAGCAGCAGGCTCCGCAACCTCATGGTACCCCGAGCCCCACAGTCCCCCCACCCCACGGCTCCCCCGGGCCCCACGG